TATAAACTCTGCAATTCTGAAAAGCGCTTCAAATTCCGCTTTAAAAGTATATTTGTACCACATAAATACACAAGAACTGAAAAGTTTCCTTCTATAATAATTTACTCTTTAATTATAAATTAAGTTCAATTTGCAGTTTAAATTTGGCTTTGGTTTGTTTATTTGTTCCTAAACGTTATCAGCAAAGAATACCCACAACAGCAATTAATTATGAATCAGAAATATTCAAAAAATCTGAAGTATACCTAAGGGTGGAAATGCAGGCATGTCATACTCTGGTCTCGTTTCCATCTGCGGCCGAGGCAAGTGTAAATCCAACAATGATGGCAGTTTCTTTTCGAACAGAGGAAAGGCTGCGTTCGACCTTAAAAATAAACACAAACATAACTTTGAATTTCTATGATCAAAATCAAAATTTAAGGACATCTAGAGAAAACGATTACCTGACAGATGCAGAAATTTTCCGGACAGGTGCTCTTCTGATGTACTACAGTCATTTAAAAGTCGTTCTTAAAACTAATACAAGCCAACAGTCAATAATAATTAAACATGAACTTCCAAAATGAGCAATTATTATATTTGTTAGGTTACTCCGGCGCATGAGTATATTTTGATGTTTATGGGATAGCAGACGATGAGTAGCAGCTCCTGAAACAACGTTCGTAATCAATACGAGGTGGCTATGGCAAATAAAGTGATGCTAGAAGCATCTGGCACTGCAGGTGCTTAAATACCACATCCCCAAGAAAATAGGAGCAAGGGGATCGTGCAGTACTCTTTACAATAAGCCACATCAGGTTACCATGACAAAGACATTAAAAAGGAAAAAGCTATGATTACGGCTACTGTCGTTTCGTTTTCAATCCAGAGAAAAGTACTACAGAGGGTGTGAAGGATTCAAGCTGACTGACAGAACCAGATAACGACTCGTTAGTAAAGAGTACCGTTCTGAATCCTAACTCTAATGGTTGGTTATGTCGCATCTGTCGAAAAATTCTATTATTAATCCACCAAAAATTTTCAGTGAATCTGTCTGCTTTATCATGAAAAGCGAGCAACGAAGTATATGATCGACATAACTCGAAGGAGCATTAAAAAAGCATTATGGGCCACGATGGCAAGTTGTGAGGATAAGTACCCTGCCTTCGGTGTTCATGGGCCTACTGCGAACTGGTGTTACTTGCAAGAAACCTTATCCAGGATTACGGACCGAAATTCATTCTGCATCAGCATCATACCACGTGACAGAAAATCTTCCGCTTTCGAATCTCACGCAGCATTAATCTGCGGATCAGAAGTTTCTGACAGGCCACTGCGGCTGTCACAGCAACTTTGAAGGATGTGGCCATACCTTAACTCTTTATGTATGTTAAGTCGTTGCTCGTCCATTATATGGACGCCTTGCTGGATACGCATGGAATTCACATATTTCATGTTTGTAACCGGTTGGAGTTAAATAGGACTGCCTTTACCCATTCTGAACAATCATACTGAATTGCCTGCTCAGCGGGGATGGTGTGACAGCAATATGTTTCGATGCTCTCGACTACAGTAATACTCGTCTACCGCAAAAGGTAAACCCTATAACGCTAGCGATGGCTATCGGTTTGTACAGGCATTGAATCACGTATTGAGTCGCACCTCGAAGGTCTGTTGTCTCTTCCAAGTCGCTCGACAGACCGGTTGTCCGGCTTTCTGCCGCCGTAGTGATTACGGTGAGCATTGTCGGCTCGTCGAGTGTATTCTTGAGAAAACTGCTCGTAAGTTCGCTTCAACGTCGGTTTTGTCAAACCGCGGTCACCGGATCGCCGAGTATGATGCAAAGAACTTGGGGGCCGTCTCGCGGGGGATCTCTCCACGGAATTGTTCTTTATTCGGTACTTTTGTTCCATTTTCGAGTGCTTCGTAGAACTTCTCGGTCGCTCACCGAAACTTGGTTCGCGTTCTGCTTTGGTCCGATGCTTGCCATGATACTCTAAAGAAAGTTAATTAAACAGGATAACAAAAAGGAGAAAAAAGTAAAAATTCTTTGAATATATACTGTTACTTTACCTGGCTTATTACACCGATCCGCTCTTGCATCTAAAGATGTAGGCTACTATTTAAGGGAACAACGACTACCTGACCTTATAACACTAGCACTGCATGCATACAATATTTCAGCACCTTGTTGGCTCGAACACGAAACCAGTTCGAACTAACTACAAAAATACTTTACAACAAATATGGATTGCTCTGGGTAGCGACAAGCACAGAACACAAG